TTTCCCGTGACAAGCTCGCCCTCCTAGCCGGAGCCCAGCCCCCTGTTTCTTGCTCAGAACCTCAGGCTGAGTTCCGGAATTTTCTTGAATGACGTGACCGGTCCCAGGCCGCCTGCCGTTCTCTGCTCCTCGCGGACCCCGAGTGGGTTTGGGAGAGGCGCGCAGTGGCTCGGAGCCGCCCCTTCCTGGGCCTGCGGACCCCTCTGCTCCCGAGTGTCCGCGTGGTCCCTGTGCGGCGTCCACGCAGCGTCCACGCAGCGTCCGCGCCTCCTGGTCTCACGTCGCAGACTCGGGGCGCGGCCGGAGATCGGGGGCGCGGCCAGTGGGGAAGCACGTCTCTTACTCTCCTCGCCCTCTCCGTGGGCGGGGTGGGTGCTGGGGGCTGAGTGCGAGTCCTGGCTCCACCTCTGGGTCTCATAGGACCCTGGACAAGTCCCGTTCCTGGCCGGGCCTCAGTTTCCCCCTGCACAGGGGGCGGGTGGTGATGCTGCCCTTGGGAGTGGCTCTGGGGCCCGTTCACGATGCTCTGCCGACCACCCAGGCAGGACACGGATGGCCCCCAGAAGGGTAATCCTGGGGCACATACGGCGGTCGCCCACAGCCTGCCTCTGACCACACGCAGGCCCCCAGGGAAACAGTGTGATATCACGCCCCCAGGCAGCGTGAAAAGACAGAGACCGTGCCCCTGCCGTGACCACGAGCCCAGCTCCCGCCTGCTCTCCTCACCCCGTCTCCAAGCCCACCACGAATGGTCTGTCACCCACCCATTGTGCAGATGCAGAAACTGAGTCCACAGAGGCCCAGGCTGGCCTGAGGCCACACGCTTGCAGGTGCACCGGCTGCAGAGGTGGGCGCCACCTGTCCCGCCTGTGTGCTTCCCCATGGTGGCCGGTGGGAGCGGGCTCCTCTGTGCTGGGGGGGAGGGCGCGGGTGCAGCTGAACACAGGTCCCGCCAGTGAAATAATTATGGGGTATGAAAATGGCTTCATTAACTCATTTTTTAAGAAGTAAATATATACAAACACTCAGCAATTAGGCAGCCTATTTGCAAATAGCAGTTTTCCAACGGAGCTTGCCCTCCTTGCTTCTATTTGCCTGCTTTTAGAGTCTGGTTTTCTTGGTTCTAACGTGCAGACATGCGGAATGGAAGGATTCCTTTCCGAGGGGCCAGATGCGGTTGGAGGAACTGAGAGGTGGCGTGGGTCCTGGGTGCTAGGGAGGGCGGGGGTCGCAGCCAGGCCCTGGGGACCATGGTTCCCCCCCATCCGTGCTCTCGTCCCCTCTGCCCCCTCCTTCTGGACACTTGAGCTCTCAAAGGGATTTGGACACTGTCCCCTGGCGAGGGGCGTCTCTCCCCAGCAGGCAGGCTCAGGGGTCACCTGTAGGTGCTGGTGCTCACACACGACCCAATCCAGCGCCCCCATTTCCCGCGCGGGACCCCCTGCGCACCCGAGGCCCCCCATCCTCGGGGTCTGGGGCTGGCAGCACCTCCGTGGGCCTCCGACAGGCGTTTCGAGTGCTGACTGGGGATTCGTGGATGGCCTTGGTGACCACTGTCCTTGCTCTGACCCGGTGACCTGTGTGAACTTCTGGGGAGGTGGCATTCGATTCCAGGTCGGCCCTTTGGGGCCGTGGGGAGACTGTCACCAGGATCGGGAATGTGAGAGGTCCCGTTCAGAGTCGTCCCTGCACAGGACAGGCGCTCGGGAAGTGTGGTGCATGGGAGAGTGTCCCCCCAAACCCACGTGCACCCGGGGCCCCGGAATAGGACCCTGTTTGGATGTGAGGCCCCGGCCGACACCACAGTTAGGGACTGAGGTGGAGTCATCCTGGGTGTGGGGTGGGCCCATCCGGACGGAGAACGGGACGCGGTCACGGGGCGGGGAGGCCCTGGGGGGACGAGGCAGAGACCGCGGTGATGGGGCCGCCGGCCCGGAGCTGGGAGCCGCCAGGGGCCGGGAGAGGCAGGCGGGACCCTGCCCGGAGCCTCCGGGGAGCGGCCCTGCGGACACCTCTGTTTGCGGCTCTGGCCTCCAGGACTCTGAGAGAACCGACTGCTGTGGCTCGAAGCGCACTTGCAGCCTTCGCTGCGGCAGCCCCGGGCCCCCAAGCTAAGCCCCCCAGCCCCCACCGATCCAGCCTTGACTTGCACCTTGCACCTTGTTGCACAGCAGCGCCCCCCTCTGGCCGAGCCCTGTCGCTGCACGGCGAGGGAAGCACCTGGCGCGGGGACGGGGAGGGGGCGGGGAGGGGGCAGCAGGGCCCGGGAAGGGGCAGCCTCGGAGTTCACCGTGACGGACGGTCAGCGAGGAGCCCGCTGTCCCGGTCCTCCCTGCAGGAAGACCGGGTGCCGGGCACGCCCAGGCCCCAGCCTCTCCCCTCGGGCGCAGGGACAGAGACCCCATGAAACCGAGCGTCGGTCCCCCGTTCCGGGTCTTGGAATAAAAATCCTCACGGTGCAGAGGCCGTCGCTGCCAGGCTCACGCGTGCGAGTTCCTCCGAGACACGGGCGGCCTGGAGGGAGAAGCGGGGACACTGGAGGGCCCGCCAGGAAAGCAAGGGGCGTCCCGAGAACGGGCCTCGCAGGGCATGCTGGGAGGCCGGCTAACGGGTGCTGCGCAGGTTCAGGGTGCAGTCTTTCTGCTGATGGGGGCCCCAGGGACCCCCGAGTCCAGCCCCCTGGTGCCCGAGAGGGGAAGCCGATGCCCAGACCTCGAGCCTGACCAGGGAGCCCCCAGAATCAGGAGGAGTGTGGGGCGCGGGCCCGGCGCCCTGGCCGCCCGCCCCTGGCTCTGAGCGAGCCCGACTCACGGCGGCGCCTGCCGCCCGCCAGGGTCACGCGGCTCCACCGGCTGGCGCCCCCCCCCCGCCCCCGTCCCCGCCCCCGTCCCCGCCCCCGCCCCCGCCACGGGGAATGCATCCTGTTCGCATGCAGCTGGCTCCTCCTGGAGCCCTGCCCTGTCCCACCAGCTGGGTGGGTGCTGGGTGCCCACGCTTCACCGAGGGGCTGCCCGGCCCCCACCCCGGCCCAGCCCTGAGCAGTGCGCCACCCTCGGTGTCGCTGGGGTCGCTCTCTGCGTCCCCCCTCAACCTGATGCCCCCCCATCCCAGGTCCTGCGGATTCCACCCCGCTGGGGGCCCATGCCCTCTCACCCCCCCATGCCTCCCCCTCCCCCCATGTCTGCCTCCCCTCTCCGCCCCCCTCTGCCTCAGTCACTGTCCCACCAGCAGCCTCCCTGAGACATCGCGGTGACCAGCCCTACTGTCTGGGTTGAAGCAGTGCACATCTACCACCCGAGTCTGCAGGCTTCCAGTGTGGACGGGGGTCCCTCCTGGGGGCTCGGGGGTCCGTCTGTTGGGAGGCAGAATGAATGGCTGGTCTCAGAGATGGCCTGGGGGGGGGGTGGGAGGGAGACAGGAGGGGGCCTCCCTGCATGGAGCTGCACAGCAGCTGTTCGCGCCCGGGGCTCGGGAATTTCCCGGGGCTCTGGATGGATCTGCGCCCACGGGCCTCCGGCCGCCTCCCTCCGGAAGACAGTCCGTCCTCCGAGGTTGATTGCTTCCCTCGTCGCACCCCAGGGGCCGCTCTGTCCCCCCGGCGGGTCCTCCCTGGGTCCTCTGTAGCCACCTCAGGGGGGGCTGGCCCCTGGTGGGGGGGCGTCCCTTGGGCGGGGGTGGGGGCTGACCTCCATCCCGACCTGGGAGGGGCCCTGTGACCCTCACCCTTTTTCCTGGAGCCTCAGTTTCGCTTGAAGATTTAGGGGGGAAGTGTGTCCCCATGGAGACCACTAAGGGAGTATTATGGGATAGAACTGACTGCTACCCGGGGAGGGCGTCTCCCCTAAAGGCGTCCTAGCTCTGCCCCTGGGCCCCAGCCGCCGTGCGCAAGTCTGAGAGGTGCAGGCCGCCCAGCTCCTCGGTGGCCCAGAGAGGGGAAGGGGCTGCTCAGGCCCCCGGACGGACGCCGGGCCCCCATGGTGCTGGGGTCTGAGGACAGGGGCACAGGGGCCCCGAGTCCAGCCGAGCCCTCAGGGAGCTCGGTCCCCGGCCCGGTGCTACACTCCCTGCAGGGGGGGGGCAGGGGGGCTCGGCGGGGATTAGGCACGAGGTGACCGGGTGCCGGACAGGCAGCAGGGCGGGGCAGAGTCCCGTTCCGGGGGCCGTCCCCACCTTGGGCTCCTCCCTCCCCCATCAGCAGACGGGGACGCCCTAGGGAGGCCTGGACCATGCCTCCGCATCAGGGTGTCCCTCCAGCCGGGCCGGGCTTGCTCCCGGGGGGTCACAGTGCATTTTTGGGGGGCGATGCGAAGGGCCTGACCGTGGGTGTCGGGGTCCCCGGCTTCCCCGTGGAATCAGTTTCATGTCCTGTCACGTCACCGTCCCCAGGCCTGGGTGGGCGCTGGCCCTGGGTGACCCCTCTGCCCCTCGCGCCGGGGACCGGGGGCCAGAGCACCCGAGACCTTCTGCACCCTGGAGGCACAGGGTCCCCCGGTGGGGGGGCTGCTGCGCTGGGGAGTCAGCTGGCCTCTCTGGGCTCGGGTTCGGTTCCAGCCGCCCTCCCTGGTGCCCACCGTGTCCCCTGGTCCTGTGGGCACGCGGTCGGGGTGGACGGCCGGGTCCTGGAGGAGGAGCTCGGGGTCCGGGGAGGGCGGTGGACGAGCAGACGCGTGGCTGTGCCGGCCACTTGTGAGCTGCGTGGTTTCGTCAGCAGCCCCTGCCCTCTGAGCCTTCTCCAGGTCCTCTGGTCCCCGAGCAGTGACCGCAGTGACGCCGTCTGTCAGGGTGTTCACAGAATCGGATGGACCGGGGAGGGCCTGGAAACATCCTCCCGTCCAGCAGGAAGCAGGCGGCGCGCACAGGCTGCCGGGGGCGGCGCCGGCGGGGGGACTGGCCGGCGGTGACTGACCCTGGCTGCGCCGGGACCAGGGGGGACGACACGGAGGGTGTCTGTGTGTGCCCCGGAGGGCGGGCCCCTGACGGCTGTGGTCCTGTCCCCCCAGGTCCTCGGACTACGGGACGACCTACACGAAGCTCACCCTGCAGCCCGGCTTCACCACCATCGTCGACAGCTTCTTCATCTCGCCGGCCAACAAGAGGAAGGTAGGCGCTTCGCCCGCTGCCGCCGCCGCTCCGCGCCGCTGGTCCCGCTCGGGGCCCCGGGGCCCTTGCTGTGACGGCGGCCTCGCTGTCCAGCGGCGCCCCGCCCGGTTCCGCCCTCCTCTGCTGGGCCGAGTTCTTAGTCCCCCACGGGGCCTCCGGGAACTGGCTCTGGGTGCTGATCGGGGGCCCAGCCTTCTCCCCGCTGGAGGCAGCACCCCGGGCGAAGCCGGAGACGCGGGGGTGCTGGGGGGGAGGAGCCCGTCGCCCCAGCCTGGGGTCCTCTTGGGGTGAGCTGCTGTCCCTCGTGGCCACGGGCTTTTCTGCCTGTTGGGTTTGCACTTGGCTTTGAGCTTCTGGCCGAGCTTTGCATTCTGTTTTTCTGGTCTGAATGCGTCCTCTAACTTTGCCATCGGCTGGTCGAGGAGACCTTTGGGCAAATCCCTGATGGCCCCCGGCCACCGGGGGGGCCGCACGGGAGCTGTGAGGCAGCCACGGTCCGCACAGAGAATCAGGACCTCTGGGACGGGAACCCAGGGCCCGGCGTGTCCTCGCGTGTGAGGCCGGCCCACGGGCACGGGCAGACAGTGGCTCCCAAAGTCGGGGCGGCTGGCGGCTGGGAGGCCTCAGGAAGGGCAGCGGGCGTGCACGGGCCCGACGGTCACACGGATGGCAGATCCGCGACTCCGAGGGGTCGTGTGTACCTGCACAGGCTGGCCCTGCGAGGACCAAGGCCCGAGCCCCCCCAACCCCCACCGCCCACGGGAGTGGTCCACGGGTCTCAGCCACACTTTCCAGTGGGCGCCACCTGCCTCACGCAGGCCCTTCTTTCCCGTTCTCTGACCGTGACCCTGGGAACGCTTCCTTGGGGGCAGAGAGGGGCAAGTGCAGCCCCTCTGGCTGTTACCCGCGGCCCGGCGGCGGTTCCGGCCCGGGTGTGTCAGACGGGAGGGCGGGAGGTGGGAGGCGGCCGGGCACTGGTGGTTTGGAGGGTGGGCGGCAGCTCCCTCCCGTCTGCCGCACCGGCTGCGCTCGGTGACCCTGGCAGACCCCTGCTCCTCCCCAGGCCTCAGTGTCCCCGCCCGTCGACGAGGAGGCATCCCTGAGCGTCCCCCACAGCCCCTCTGAGCTCGAACACTCCTGACCTCCTGGGTCTCCTGCCCGCAGAACGGCAGCTGGGGGGGTGCGATGCCCGTGGGCACAACCCCGACACCACTGTGTCTCCCGTGCGTCTCGGCTTTTCCCCTGCGAGAGGGCGGCTTCCCCAAGACCTCCGGGTCGCTCTCGCCCCCGGCAGCACAGGCGGGTGTGGGGCGGGTGTGGGGCGGGCCCTGCTGTCAGGCGGGCTCCGCGCCTGCTGCCGGGGAGCGAGGACCCGCTCACTCTTGGAGACCTCCGTCCAGTGTGGACCGAGCACCCGCCGTGCCGCGTCCTTGCTGGGCGCCGCGCTGCGCGGGCGGGCGAAGTGTACCACGACTCCAGCTTTCCAGAACCTCGGGGGGCCGAGAGGAGCCCTGGAAACTAAGCCTCTCGTGCTGCATTTTCGTGGGAGGACTCAGAAGAGGGGCGGAGTTGGCCACACAGAGAGGCGTGGTTGGCCCCGGGCTGACTGTGGTCTGGAAGAGGCGGGGCCCTGGTTTGCGGGGCACCCGTGGTAGCGCCTGGGCGGCCTGCGGTCCCCGGTTCGGCCGTGGGTGGGTTTTGCAGGAGGATGCAAATGCCATCAGGATTCCATTTAAGCAACAATTACAGGCCAAGCGCACTTTATCGCTCCTTAAGAGACCACTTTACAACCTGTCTCGCAAAATTAATTCCCGTTTACTTGTTGTCTCGCTGGCTGTGCTCCCGGAACTCCCGGCGCCGGTGCCCACGGGCCATGTGTCTGCCTGCCGTCAGGGGGCACAGCTGAGATCCCAGGCCTGACAGTCCCCCCCCCCACGCCCCTGGGCCCCCCCCCCCCGCACCGCCCGTCTGTGAGCCCCACACGGGCCCGGACTGGAGGGTTTCCGACTTGGCTGCCGCGACAGCACCGTGGCGCAGGGGGAGGGGTGCAGGCACGCGGCACAGCTGGGCCCGGGAAGGCCTCTGAGGGTCGTGGTTGGTGTTAGAACTTCCTGTGGATTTCCGTTGTGCTCTGAGATGTGTCGGCGTCGGTTCGAATGCTAAGAGTGCACTCTCACACCCGTGCGCGCACACACACATGCACACACGCGTGTGCACATACAAGTCTTGGGCAGAGGACCCAGAAGAATGCTCCCGTTTTCAAACTCAGGGCCCCGGTCCAGCCACCTCCCTGGGCCCCCCCTGGCAGGGGGGCTCCTCCCCTTTGAAGCGCGGGGTTAGGACGAGACCCCCCCCCATCGATTCAGCGAGTTTTCATTCTGCTCGCTCCCCCGGGATGGTGGCGGACACGCCCTGGGCCGGGCGCTGGGGACGGGGAAAGGAGTCAGACCCGGTCTTGCCTCTGAGATGCTCGCACTGTCTCAGAGCAGGACGCCCCCCGATCTGCAGGGTGGGAGCCCTCCCCCCGCCCCCAGGCTGCAGATCAGGGGCTTCGCTCCCGTCACCTGTCACCCTGGCCACGCCCCTGTCAGGCGAGGGGGCGTCCTACAGGTGAAGGGGAGGGAGGCCCGGCCGGGACCCCACCCTCACTGGGACATGCGCGCCGTGCTGCAGGCCCGGGTGGGACACAGCGTGCCGGGGCGGCCGCTGGGCTTGTCTGCCCGCCCGCAGCCCGCTGCACGGACCCAGGTCCCCCATTTTCCACATGCACCCCCCAGCTCTCTCCGTACTCGCAGGCCCCTTTGCCTCCCAGGCCCGCCCAGGGAGGGAGGGCCACCTCGCAGCGGGGCCCTGTGCGTGGACCGGAGGGCACCGCGTGAGCTCACGGCAGCGGGGGCACAGGAGCGCACCCCCTGGACGGTGGGGTGGGTTCGGAGGGGGGCGGGCGGCAGAGGGCCCGTGTCTTTGTTTCCCAGGACTGGAGCGTGTGCGAGGTGGCGCGGGCCTGACTCCACCGGTGGCGCTCGTGAGCGGGGCGAGGCTGAGGCAGGCTGTGACGGGACACGCCCCCGTGGCTGGGGAGGGCAGCGGAGGGAGGGCTGTGTTTCTGACCCTCGCGTGAGTTTGCATTTCAAGCAGCTGAGGCTGCAGCTTTGGCTCGCCCACCACAGCACCCCTGGCCGTGGGAGGGGAGGGGAGAGGCACCGCTCCATCACCCACCCACGCTCGCGCCTGAGGGAGGGTGCGCAGCTCCAGCCCGGCCCAGGCCCCCGGCCCTGCCGCTCACGGGGCAGGGCCAGCACGTGGTGCAGGCAGCTGGGGACTTCGGTGGCAGTGGATAGAACCCACTGCGGGCCGGCCTCAGCCCGGGGGCCTTTCATGGAGAAATAGCAGGTGGGATCGAGGACGAGAAGGTTCCGGCAAAGGGCAGGCTGTGGGGACCTCGGGAGCCACACAGCCCTGGCAACAAGGGACCCCAGTGACACCCCCTGCCCTTGTGTCTGCAGAGGATCACCCCCTGCCTCCTTTCTGAGGACGGGAACTGGTTGGATGGCTTCGACCAGACAGCCCGCCACAGGGGGGAGTCTTACTGCTGCAGGGGGACCGCGTGGCCACCTCCACCTGGGAGAACACCATGTCCAAGTACCTGAGCCCCCTTATCCCTCTGTCTGATGGACAGCGGATGTGTGGTGGGACCAGGCCCGGGAGGCCGTGGCCTTGGTTCCAAGGTCGCCCCCCCGGCCCCCCACCCCCGCCCCCGTCGCCCGCTGCCGCGTCTGTGCCCGCGCCGGTCCGTGTCTTTTCCGCTGGCGCCTCTGAGGCAAGGCCGTGCCCGCCGCCTGCACGGGCGCGGGTAGCGGCCAGGCGCGGCCGGCTCCTCTGCCTCGTCCTGCTCCTTTGTTCCTGGGAGTTCTTGTCGCCCCACTGACGGCTTCCAGCTGCCCCCCACGTCGGACCGGGCGGAGCGGTGGAAAGGGAGACTGAAGCCCTGGAGGGGGAGGAGCCCCGGGTCGCCTGTGCGCCGCCCTCAGCGCGCGCGCGCGCGCGCCGCCCCTCCCCCGGCTGCTTCCCTGGGCGGGGCCCAGGCCCCAGCTGTGGGCGGGCGGTCCTTCCAGCCTCCTCCGCCCGGCGCGCACCCCTTTGCACACCCACGGAGACGCGGCCCCTCCTCGCCCACTGCCGTCACGCGTCTCGAAGCCCAGGGCAGGAGGCACAGGAGGTCACGGGTGGTGCTAACACAGGGTGGGCGGTGCGCGCTGGGCCGGAAGGCCGCCGCGGTGCACGTGGTGGGGTCAGGTGTGCGTCCCCAGTGTCCTCGCCCCGGCCCTCTGCCGTCTGTCCATGGGGCGGCCCCTGGGGGGGTTCTCACCGGGTGACGTTCAGGTTATTTGGAAGAGTGGATCAGCGCCTCCCGGGCTGGGCCGCAGCTGGCGCAGGGACACGGTGATGAGGCACCTGGATAAACTGTGATCCCGAAATGATGCCGCGGTGAAATTAGTCGGGCGCGAGGAGAGATCATTACGCGGGTAGTTCTGCCGTCACCGCCGGGCGGAGTGCGGCATCCGTCACGGCTGAGGCGCGGCGAGGGTGCGCCACGCAGCCCGCAGACGCGCACCTGAGGACACGGCTGGGAGGGAATTCCGATCGCCACGGAATTCGAGAGCAATTAAGTAGTTATCTGTCCCGTGTAAACGAGCCGTGACACGTGCTCTGAGTCCTGGGGTACTTTCAACGAAGCGCGAACCTGGCAGGGAAATGCGCGTCCCTTCTCCCTCCCCGAGGACGAGGGCCCACGGGAGACGGGGCAGGCGGCGTTGCCAGGGACCCTCGGCTGCGAGTGTGGTGTCACCGGGGCTCCGGGCCTGAGCTGCCTGGGTGTTCCCCTGGCTGCCCCGTGGACGGCCGGGACCCCGGGAAGGCGTCTCTGCCCACTGGGCCCCGCCCCAGCCCCGCCCCCCCCTCCCCACCAAGGCCTTCCCCGAGGCAGAGATGGCGAGCTC